TCGTCTCTACAACTTGATTACAACATGCATTGTAGTTTTTTCCTGATATTTAGTATATTATTTCAGAACAAAGTATTATTTGACGTTGTTTTTCGCCATGGAGGAGAGTTCATACAACTTAGTGACGATGAAACGATTTACAGGAGTAGTGTTTCTACTTTGATTTCTGGAGAACACATAGATAAATGGACCGTGCCTCACATTCAAAGCATTGTAAATGGGTGGGGTTACTTAGAAGGGTCGCATAGATTGTGGACGAAAATCACTGATATAGACCCTAGTTTTTTCGAGATTAAGAAGGATGAAGATGCATATGATTTTGTTACTTATGCTTGTGCAATGTAAGTTGATGGGGGAAATGTTTGTGGAACATGATGCAGGTGGAAGTGGAAGTGAAAGCAGTCCCAAGTTTGTTCCTGAGTTGGAGGTTAGTGATAAAGAGATTATTAAAGGGTTGAATGATAGTGAGGATGAAAGAACGACTGATGTTATTGATAGATTTGATGGTATTGATGTCACTATACCACTTAATGAGGGTCCAACCATAGTAGGGTTGTTAACTTGTTCAAGTAAGAAGAAATGTGATGATGATGAGGAGTATGTTAGTGAAGAGTTTAATAGCTCTGATCTTGATAACTCAGAAGAGTGAAAAATGGCGTAAGTTTGAGAAGTTTAAGAAAGAGAAACTTAATAAGAATTTTAAGTTTAAGTGGGGTATGGAGTTCAATTCCCTAGATGACTTTAGAAAGGCTATTCGTGAGTGGACAATTTTAAATGGGAGGGAAATAACATTTGTGAAGGGGTATATGGTGAGAGTTGAATGTAAAAAAATGTAGTTTTTTAATGCTTTGTTCTCATGCGGGCTACAAGCACACTTATGCCATTAAGACTATAAAGGACACCCACACATGTGCTAGGGTTTTGGATAATAGATCTGCAAATTCAAGGTGGATGTCCAAGGCTATGGTCAAGAAAATGCAAACTTCTGACAAAGTAAGGATTTGTGATACTATTCAAGATATGAGGCAAAACTATTCAGTGGATATAACCGTGTCAAGGGCATGGAAAGCTAAATTGATTACAAGAAAAATCATAGAAGGAGATGCAGACAAGCAATATGCAAGTCTGTGGAGATATGCAGCTGAATTGCACAGTGTACATGCTGGAAATACTGTGAAGATCAACATTGAGAGACCATCACCTACCATCCAACCAAGGTTTGGATCTTTCTATTTCTATTTTGATGGATGTAAAAAAGGGTTTATAAATGGTTACAGGCCTTTTTATTGGGGTTGATGTCTGTCATTTGAAGACTAAATATGGAGGTCAACTATTAATTGTTGTGGGTTGGGCCCTAATGACCAATACTTCCCACAGGTATTTGGTGTTGTGGAAACAGAAACAAAAGAATCATAGAGGTGGCTTATACAACTATTAATGGAAAATGTTGGAATAAAGAAGAGATATGTATTTATTTCAGACCAGTAAAAGATAATCCCTTTAAATTTCACTAATTTCCAGTTGTGTATGATGTCCTAATATTTCACTAATATGTTCCATATTGTTGTAGGGTTTGGTTGCAATATTTGAAATGTTTCAAAGAATTGAGCATAGGTTATGCTTGAGGCACTTGTATGCTAAAGTCAAACAAGAATTCAAACCATTGAGAAAGAGGTCAAGTGATAGAATTAAGGAGAATTGGTTTAAAAAACCAAAACCATTCACATGTCCTGGTTCTGACCCAGAGCAACCTATGTACTTGACTGAAGAAGAAGAAGGAAATGCATCACAAACTGCAAATAAATCTATAAAGAGTGCTACTAGAAAAATCAATAAAGGATACACCTAAGAAGGCTGCAAAGAGTTCCCCTAAGAAGGTTCCAAGGAGTTCCCCTAAGAAGCCTCCAAAGAAGAAATCAATTTATGATCTATAATGTTGCTTCTTATATGCACAAGTTTGGTGCTCTTTTTGTAACGTTTTCTAATATGACAGCTAAGTAATGTTTCTTATATGCACAAGTTTGGTGCTCTTTTTGTACTGTTTGACTTATGCACACGTGTGGTGCTCATTTTGTACTGTTTGACTTATGTACAAGTTTGGTGTTATTTTGTAATGTGTTAAGTTTGGTGCTGTTATGTAATGTCTTAAGTTTGGTTCTTTTGTAATGTCTTAAAAAGTGAATGCACTTTTCAGAAAGCAGTGAATGCACTTTTTGTGCAGAAACATAATATCAAGATGTTCTAAAAATATTCAAGATGTTTGATAGAAATATAATTCTTTCTATTAATATCAAGATTATCCAAAATAGATTATATTGATAACCAGAAAAATACAACTATTGAACCAACTAAAAATCACATGAAATTATACAATAGACCAATAATCAAACAACACATAACAAATGTTATCTTGAACTGCATATTAATCCTTCTCCGAGCTTCAAGCTTCATCTTCAATTTCTCCAATTTCTTTGTTACTGTTTCCAATTTCACTTCTAGTACCTCACACTTCTTACAAAATGGTTGAATAACACTATTTCCTTTGATGGAGTCTCCAATTTCATTCATCCCATAGGAATAATTCACAGCTATTCCCAGTCTACAAAAATCAAAACTTATGTTAACATTAATAAAAATCAAAACTTACTATCAATTTTTGCCAATTAATCAACAAATAAACTTACCCCAACATTGCGACATTTCCAAAACATTCGATTGCGATTTTGAACTATGTTGGACACCCACATCTTCATTGCTCTATCACAACCACATATGGGTAATCTAGAAAACAAAACCGAATTAACACTGCTTCAAAGAGAACTGCTTCCAACCATGCTTCAATTTAAGGGGACGAAGAAGAACGACACATGATTACGAAGTAGAGGATTGAGCCAAAAGGGAAGGAAAAACGAAGATTGAAATGAAGGTGAAGAATGAAGCGGAAGGAGAATAAAAACCCTAGATTTATCATATACACGATCACCCCATTGCAATTGCCACGTAGCAAATTATCATACACACAATCAACAAACCAAGTAAAAGGATGTGGTGAAAATGATTTATTTGATTTATAAGGGGCATATCATAAAAAAATTACTTCAGAGGGACAAAACTAAATCTCACCCAAATATCAGGGGAGACGTATAATTAACCCTATAAATAATAGACATTAAATAAATAATAAGTTTAATTATAAAATCACCGGCGTCTGAGACTTACAGAGATATGAAGTACCTTAGAAATGTACTATCCTATTCCATTAACTCTAAGAATCTTCAACTGATCATTTTGTCTTTCAACCACAAAACTTAGTAAAAACATAAAACACTTCACTTTTTTTCCAACTAGTATAGCCATATCTTTATTATGAATTCATCAATACAAGTCATAAGGTACTTGTTTCCTTGTAGAGTTGAGATTTCAGTTTCTCCATATACATTTGAATGAACTACATCCAATGATTTTTTTAGCTCTAGAAAATATAGAAGATTTGGAAGCATTCCTTAATTGCTTGCTAACCAAGTTACCCGAACACAACTTTTTATGAGTGTGAATGATGGGAAGGTCACCTACCACCTTCTTTTCACTTAATCGATGTAGACTTTTAAAGTTTATATGATCATTTTAGAGCCACATCCATATCTCTTCATCACCAACAACACTTGTGAAACATTATACATTTTCTGCTTGCTAATTGATCTTGAAGGTTCTATTTTTGGACAAGGGAACCTTTAAGACTACTCTACCTTTGGGATAAAAAACAATGAAATTGGTAGTTCATATTCATGGAGAATCTTTTCTCAAACAATTAACCTAGTCTTAACAAGTTGTTCTTCATTGAGGGCACATAAAAGACATCTTTCATATAGACAAATTCACCATTCTTTCTTTTGATCATCACATTCCCTCTACCTTCATCTGATATTACGCTATCATTTGAAATCATGTCTATGCTTCTAAACTTATCATTAAACTATAATAACCAATCCTTATGGTCTATCATGTGATTGGAGCAACTAATATCAAGGTACCACAAATCATTATTATCTTTATCAGAATATGTGATGACCTATTGTAACACCCTGATTTTCTTTATTAATTATTTTACTATTTTATTTACTATGTTAATTATTATTTGGTTTGATAATTATTTAATTATTTAATTTTTGTGAATATGTGATTGATTGATTAAATTGTGTGATTTTGTGAACAAATGAGTTATTTGAATTAATCGGTGATGTGTGATATATAATTTATTCTATTAATTGCGAATATGTATTATGTGAATAATTGAGATATTGGGTGTGAAAATAGTAATATTAGTTAATTGGGTCTTGGTGTGATGAGTAAGTATGAGAATGAGATAACTCCATTAGTGAAAACACTAGTTAGTATGTAAAACAAAGAGAAAATAGATCTAGAGAGAAGTTGTCAAAACAAGAGAAGAGAAGAAAGAGAAAAATAGGAGAAAAGAGAAAAGAAGAAGGGAAAACCCTAGAATACATCCAAGTTAAGAGTGAGTTTTCATTTGATTAATAGGTAGAACACATGATTTAGGGATTTAGATTTCAATTTCTAGATTTTTGACATGCTTAAGGTTTGATGAGAAATCCTTGAATATGATAAGTAATGATGTGTGTTGATGGTAATGAGATTTTAATTTGAATATGCAATATTTCATGAAATTTGGGAATTTAGAAATGGGATGAAAGAGATTTTGATACAACTACTATTCATTTCGTCAATTCTGACAACAATCTATCATATAAGAAAATTTTAATATTAAAAAAAAACCTTTTTTATCATTTGCCCTACCCTTACCACCTACGTAAAAACGATACAAATGTTGTCTTTTATTACCCCTATGATAAAAACGGAACATATCGTTACTTGGCGAACTAAATAACTTTTGCAAAATCCATTGTTTTGAGTTAAACTTAAACTACTAAACAAGCTTTTTGTAACACTTCAACTGAACCGAAAGAAGGAAGCTAACTAATATGTCACATCCATCAGGTCCTATTGCTTTTTCTTCCACCACAACCCTTCTCATATCTCCTTCTTTTCTCTTTTCACTTCTGTCTCTTTCTCTCATCCTTTTTCCCTATTTCTCTCTTTTCTCTTTCTCATACTTTTTCTTTTTCTCTTTCTCTCTCGTCTTTTCTTTCTCATCTTTCATCTTCTTTCCCTTACATTACAATTCCACACATCTAATATGTGGTTTATCAATCAACAATGGCGGTGTAAGGAAACCCTAACCTAATCTCCTTTCAACCCTTTTTCTGTTCGTAAAAATTAATGCCTTTTCTAATTGGGTATGTTTATTGAACATATGTGGCAGGTGAAGAATTTCGACAGACAATATTGTAGAAACAAAAGGAATCAATGGCAATGTTGTTGTTAGAAAATTTAGCTATAATATAATGCTGTTACAATATTTAGTGCAGACCGGGAAGCTTCAACAATCGCGACCAGGATATGTGAAACCATATACTTTGCTTCAAATTATCAGGAGGTTTGATTTCTTGCGATTGTTATTTTTTTGTCAATTCTATCGTGCTTGATTTTGATAAAAGGCTTTGGAAAATTTTGATGTTCATTTCAAACGTTGCAGATTCCACAAAATTCAAATGGGCTCATTGAGTATAGAACACATCCTTTTTGGCGGAAGTTGTGAGAGAATAGAGGTCAGTTACATTATGTCACAAGAAACTCCTTTGTATTGGGAGTAAGCTTGATTTTAGAGATCCATATAAGAAACATCAAATGATATGTAGGTAGGTTCTTGTGACTTTTTTTGTACATCACATTTTATCGAACGTGTTTCGGCGTTTTATCACCAGAATAATGCTTATGTGCATACTTTTGAATAGGTATCACCATAAGGCACCGCCAAATTGGGTAGCTCTTACCACTGCAACCCTATTCTTTGTGATTCTTTTGTTAATCGGTTATATTTTATACGGTGCTGAAAATCATATTGTCAAAGTAGAGGATGATTTCCATAAAATGGAGGAATTAAAAGTTCGAGCTGAAGCAGCTTATGTTGCCAAGTCACGGGTACTATGATACAATGTTGTTTATGTCTATATAGCAGGTGCGTGTTATAATGATCTATGCATAATCTATGGGCACGCAGTTGCAATCACAGTGATCTATCTTAGCTGACTATAACTTTCATGTTTCAGTTTACTGATTTAAGGCATTGTCTGAGCTTGTCCTCCATGTATTTGATGAAAAGCAGGAATGACACAGTGGTTGTCGTTGCTATGTTTCATGGTCTGAGGATTGAAAGGCCTGGTTAGGATCTTTAAAGTTTATGTGAAGCTTGAGAGCAGCAGAGCATGGGCTGATCCCGGTATTCGAATTGCTAGAAGTCTGGAAAATTAGAGGTTCCCTGGCTGACTGCCACTATTTAAAATACAAAACTTTCTCCACTTTTCAATGCAAATATTTTTTTAATTCCTTTTAACCATCTGTGGTACTTATCAATGTTCAGCAGTCGTTATGAGTTTGTGTTTTCCAATACTGTATTTTCTGTCTCACAACCCAGGGCATTCATACTGGTTCTGGTTCTGATCTTATCAATGTTTATCACTGTCCAGCTGTTGTTTTCTTTTTTCTTTTGTCATTTGAGAAACTGGTTGGTTCTGTTCATCATCTAACTACATAAACCATATATTTGAATCATAGAAGCTTATTAAATTAAGGTTCGCACATACATGCAAGCTATTTAGTGGATGGGATGTGTGAATAGTGCTCTCATTAATGTTGGTCAACAATTACAATATTACTCCAAACATCTGTTGCAGAAATTTAGGGTTTATCTCTAGCCTGAGATTTATGTAGTGTAGGCACAACTTGCATCATCTCTTGGTACCTGTACATTTTTAGTAGTGACATGTTATTTGATTGATGACCAATCTCTTTCATTTTGAAATATCATTGAGTCATGAAGGGGCGATCCTTAGTGAGGACTGCAATAGAGCTGTAAACTAAGTGTGTTTTAAAAGTATAATAACAAGGGAAAGTAGAGGTGGGGGAATGAGACCTATTTTTATGAGATTAACTAGACCCTCACACTAAAAGTGTCTGTGTATGACCATGTACTAGGAGGATAACTAATATCGTTGCTTTAGGAATGGATTTTATAGTAGAAGAGGCTTTACTGTAGAAATATCCTCATCTTCAATTTAGGGTTCACTTACAAATTGTAAGAGTAAGATTGAATATTAAGTTTAGAACAAATGAATGTGTTTTGTGATTGCTATATTAAATATTAATGATAATCTTTAATTTTTTGGAATTAATGACTTGTCACCTTTAATATATGTATATATTCACTTCCTGTACATGTATCATTTTTCTATAAAGAGACCTGATTCAATGGGCCATGGACACCGCCCCTCATGCGAATGTTCTATTAATATCCGGGGATGTTGATTTTGTTTATCCCCTGCAAGACTGCACTTTAGAAAATATAATATTCTACTAGCTTCTAATCCAAAGTCACGGTCTGAAATATTACTGGAGGCTGCCTATATTGCTTGGGATTGGGTTGATTTGGTGAACGGAGGACCGCCTCCACATTGCGTACTTAAGCTCACAGAGCATGAAGCTAAGTACCAGTAATACCTATTTAGCTTGGTATAAATAAGAGAGTAAAGTGCTTTTGGCATTATATTTGGTTTTAGTCCCATGCAGATGCTAAAACATTATGGAGAGCAATTAATTGGCTGCATATAAAGGTTGAGAGAAAAAGCAGTGAAACCAACCAATTTTGCTGCAGTATAATTTTGAAACTTTCGATGACTTGATTGAATCTCTTGCACCTCTTATTGGAGTTTCAGTCAGAACCATAGCACAACTCTCGCTTAAGTTTTGCTCAACTCAAAGTTTGGAGTCTAACACACGTCATCAGGTTGGTTTGGATCATAAAGTATATTGTCATGACTTTTTATACTCTTGCTTTCAAAATTGTGTTACTCACTAACTTGATGTTATTGCCTTTATCTAACAGACAATTCAGATTATTTCTTGGTTGGCAAAGTATAAGTTCAATATTTTGATAAATCATAAGTTGATTCAACCAATGAAGACAAAGATGATCTTGCGTCCGATCGAGCTGCTGCAGAAGAGCTAAATATACTTGTGTTTCCAGTGATTTCTGGTAAACAACCGCTAGTCTTCCAAACTATCGAATAATCTTTATTAACGCTACTCAATCTCTTTGGTAACTCACAGGATCGACTAGATTGATCCTAGGACTCCTTGGATATTAAGGTTACTCTCACAATCGAACAATTATTCATGGGTGCTATTGTACAAATGTTTGGTTTATTTCGATCCCTCTCTCTAAGAGTTTAAAAATGTGGTCAAAATGTATGTGAAAACTAAGTTATACGAATAATTGCTAATTGTAATGCTGATTGAAAAGACATATAAAACTGTATGGAAAATGAAGTAACTGGTTTCGACCCATAAAACATTTAACACAAAAGGTTTCTGGAATGTGGAAGTTTAAAATGTGAAGAAAGCGTTTAATGCAAGAAATCTAGAAATGACTTTAAGTGAAAGTACATGTTTGAAGAATAATACTTGAAAGTAAAGGTATTGAGAGCGTAAAAGTTCTCTGAAATATAGAGTGCTCGAAATATAAAGAAAACAGTAAAATGTAAAACTTTGAAGAAAAGACTTTGAAATGAAAAGACAGTAGATAAAGAAACTTGCAAATGTTATTCGACAGAAAGAAAAAGAAGGAAAGTGCTGGAAATAGTAAAAAGGCTTTTATTAAATTAGAAATACATGGTGCTATCATACATACATTTCTCTTGCATTCGTTTCCCTTGCCATGTGGTAGTTTGAATGTTATTGAGTATTTTGTATAACAGATATGACACACTGAAATCCTAACACTAAGACTTCTATTTATACTAACTCGACCCTAACGGTCTCGCTACAAGATCATGCCACGTTTCGAACATGCAAGACAACGCTCCTTTCATCTTTCCACGTGTCCCCAAATGCTCCAACACATAACTTTCAAACTTTGAAAGTCCCGCTTTCATTTAAATTTTAAATGCTTTGGTGTTTCTCTGTTTCGAACGCTCTTCTCAGACCTAGCTTCGCTGCTGTTTCGAGACCCCTTTGGATACGCTCCCATGATCACCGTTCGAAGCTTCAAGCTTTGACACACTCATTCGAAACACTGCCTCTGCAATTTCGAAGCGTGGTGTTTTAATTCCATTTCGATCAGAACTTCTAGCTCTTTTTGAATTCTAAATAACACTATCAAAATCTTCAGCCAACAAATTGCCCCTTTAAAATATGTATTTCGATCTCTCTGAGAAATGCCTATTTTAAACATTTATACAAGATTTTGATAGGATTTTCGAATCATTATAGCATTTAATGCGTTTGACCCTAGTCACATCAATCATAGCATCCTTTGGGTACCTTAACCGCCCAGAGTCACTTCACAGCATGGTGCAGTTATAAGTAATGATTGTTTTTAAAATCACGCCTATTACCTATATCAACTTCTCGCCACCTCTTCATCACACCAATCCATGATCTCCACGTATCATACTTTCACTCGGTGGACGCTTAATCTTCTTATTATAAAACGTCAATTTAACCTTCCTTTTTCCTTCTTTACACTCTAAACCTTTCAAACTCTGGAATTTTACTCTTCTTCTCTCATAAACAATCTAAGCTCTCAAACAACAAAAATGTCTTCTTCCACATCATCCCAACTCAAGAAAGTCTCCAAGAAGAAAGGAAAAACTACAGGAGCAACTATGGAGAGTAAAATCGTCATCATTCAAGGCCAATCTGCTCTTGCTCCTCAAATGATTTCCAAAGAAAAAGAAATGCTGTACGCATCACAGGTACTCATCCCTACCCATGTTGCTGGTAAGAGGTTAGCCTTAAATGGCCCTCTTACAGTTTTTGAAATACTAAAGGACACCAGGACCATTTTTCCCGTGTGTTATAACTTCAAACCTTTATTCAACAAAATGGATGCCCCTAGGGCAGTAGAATCTCTTAATCCGAATACCACAGAAACCTCAACTGTTTATCCTAAGGACCCATTTATCTTGGATTATGTAAAAAGCAATTTTAAACCATTCCGATCTTGCCCTACTGCTGATGTTGCTTATCAAAACTGGTTCACGAAAGTAGAAGCCAAAAAATCCCAGCAATGGGAAGAACTAGGCATTTATAACCTTATTAAGCTATCGAAACCTGGATTCACCTATAGTCATCCTCTGCTATTTGCGTCCCTCTATTTCTGGGATAGTACCTACAACACTTTCCATCTTCCAGGTGGAATGATCACCCCAACCTTCTTCGATATAGCAGCCATTACTGGGCTGTCGCCAGTGGGGGAAACTTATGTTCCTGACAATGAAGAGCACTCCAGCATAATTGACTTCGAAGTCAAGTTAGCCAGCTTCTCCAAATTTATCGGCCATTATCATGCTGAAGGGGATAATGTGTCTGACACAGAGCACATTGCTTTCTTAACCCTGTGGCTGTCTAGGTACGTTTTCTGCAGTAGATCCCTGCAGGTAGCTAGTAGGTTCATTCCTTTAGCTAGGGATTTACATGAAAATCGCAAAGTGTGCCTAAGTGAATTACTCTTAGTTGACCTCTATGAGAGCCTGAGGTCAGCTGTTTCGAGCCTCAAATCCCACACTTCCAAAAACATTCTCTTAGCTGGCCCATTTTGGTTACTTCAATTATGGCTCAACGCCATGTTCGAACCTTCTTTATCAACCGCCAACACCATAGATGAACAAGATTCAGAAATAAGTGATAGGATAGTCGAAGGCACTAGGCTTCGCAGACTAACCCCTAATGATGACAAGGACGACTTCAAGGTTCAATTTTCGAAGTACATCTTGATACTCTCAAAAAGACATAAGTTCGAAGAGAGCATGGCGCCCTTTGCTTCGAGGGCTCATGGACCTTCTTGGTTCACCATGGCTCTCTCAGAAGCCATCAAGAGTAAGGAAATCCAAGATGTGTGGAGAGCTTTCTTGCTTCCTAGACTTATCTCTTCAAGGATAACCCCAGCTAAGAACCAAATTCTTCTCTTTGCCTACCAACCAAACTTCGTTTCGAGGCAGTTTGGCCTATGCCAACTGATTCCTGAACCTTTGTTCCAGACTGAGAGCGCCATCACATCTGGTCGAACTTTCAAGGCAAGGGAAGCCAAGATCCAGCAAGAACAATATCAGGGCTTTGCCCAATTTGAACTGATAGCCTTCGAACCTACCCATCTCGCGGCCAAAGGATTTCTGGAGTGGTGGATTAAGTTTTATCAAGCTTGTATGTTCGATACACTTACTATTCGACAGAAACTAATTGATGCCTTCGATGTGCAGGTACCAGCAAAGAAAGGTATGTTTACTCATGCCAAAGAAATAAAAGCTTTTCAAAATTACTTCGAAACTACTTACGACCCCACACGCTTGGACTCCACTGTGCATCAAGCGGCTGAGACCTTGAAGGAAAAATTTAAACAAAAAGTTTCAAAGCTAAAACTTCCTTCAGGGCTGTCACCTGAGGATAGGTATAGGTTGGCATTCGAAATGCATCCACCTAAATTTCCCAGATTACCTACCTCAGAACTGGCTCTGGCTTGGTTTCCCCCATATCCATGGTGGTTTACTTGCAAAGAGATGTTCAAATATCTTCAAAGGAAACCAAAGCCATCTGAGACTGTGACATGGGCTCGACACTGGCTTCATGATTTCCCAGGACATCTTCGATATGACCTTTCTGCCATGTCAATTAAATCTGATCAAGGCACAGGTGCGAATGCTTGGGAAAAACTCCCAAATATCTTTTATTTTCCAAATCTTTAACCTTTGCTTTAAATGTTTTGATTTTCAGCTATCAGGATAAAGACTGCTGCCTCGAAATCGAAGGAAGGGAGTGTCTCTCAAACCTCCATTGAAACTACTGAAAAAGCTAATCCACCCGAAACGACTACTACTGCTGCAACTACACCAACAACAACAACGCCAACAACAACAAGTGCCCCGATTCCAACGGTAATCACTTAGTTTTTTATGCTTCGAATTCACTCAATCCTTTTATATCTAACTTCGTTAAAATTCGTTCAGACCAACAAGCTTCCCCCCACTACTCCCAAGAAGCGGAAACCAAGCACCACTGGGGAAGATCTGACTGCTGGAGGAAACTCAAACACTGCTTCGAAGAAGAAGCTAAAGAAAGCTACACCCAAAAGTACTGTTCCTACTAGTGTCTCTGGACTCGACTCCAGGGATGCTGCTCCCTTACCAAAATCCAAAAATCCACCTTCGACCTCCAACCCACAGTTGGAACGCATAGCTAGTAACCTCTCTTCTGAGGGCCCACAGGTAAATCGAACTTCTTTAAAAATGTTTAACTTCTTATTACCTTGGGGAGTGTCATCCTCTAACATTTTGCTGCTCCTTGCAGAACATCCTGAATCCCACTTCTACTATTTCGACCTCACCGTCCAGGGCTGCTGTTCCGCTTAACTCCTCTCCTCAAGGAGATTCCAGCAATTTGGTCCAAAACAAAGGTTCTTCCAACTTGGCGGTTTTGGCTGGAACTTCTGAGCAGCCAGATGACCAAGGTACCTCCATTCCTCTGAAAGAGGTGAACGAAACCATACTTCAAACGTCTGCAGAGGATTCACAAAGGGTTCTTCAAAAGTCCCCTCTTGAAACTCTTCAAGAGGATCCAAAGGATACTCAGACTGAAGAGGAAAAAGCTGATTCTGGGCAAGGATTCGAAGAATCTGCAGACGAAGAATCTGAGGAGGAAAACGCCAATGATGGGGAAAACGACAATGATGGTTCGACTGCCGGGACGGAGTCTAATGCACATAGCGGTGAAAAGGATGGTATCGAAGTGGTAGATTTGGACGAGGATGAAGAAGACCAAGAGCACGAAGCAAATGAAGGGGATGGTGATACAATCAACGAAAACCCAGAGGTTGAAACAAACGTGGTTCCCCTACGCGTGGAATTCCCCCAATCCTCTCCGTCTCGAATGACTGACGAGGAACTGGCACTTCTGAGGCGAAATGACCCTATTGGGTACATGAAGGCAAAGTTGGCCCAGAGGGACATCCCACTC